AGATTAACCAAAAGCAAATTATAATTAAAAGCAAAAATGGCAGCAACTGAAAACCATGACTACCGATCTTGCCCTGTTAACAAAGGACCCTTCCTGAAAACTGCAGGAATTCCAATCATCTCAATGTGAAAGACAGCTACTTTCATAGTAAGTTACTAGGCAGAAAATCTCATTGCACATAGAAACAAAAGCCTCCTGTAAGATATGAAAAACAAAAGGGCTTTCCAGTTTGGATCAGTTTGAGGTCTGTCAGGAGGACCTTCTTGATCTACCTGGGGTCAGGTACCAACCTGACCTAATCAGCATTTAAGGTCCCTTCAGCTTTCATATTGTGTTGATGCATAGTGTGCATTTATGACTATCTGTTACATGAGTGAAGTAATAAATAAAACAATGAATGAATAGATATGACTAAACCTGTAAGAACTCTGGAAGGTCCGCTGAAGTCTAGAGCAGTGGTTTTCAAACTTCTTCAAGTGATGGAATACCTATAAATCATGTAGTTTCTGGTGGAGCTTCTTAAAATGTGAATTTATTAAACTTTAAGGGAATAAACATATTGTATCTCTGGAAGTACATATAAGAATCTGATAGCACTGATTGCCTCAGAGGAGGGGAACTGGATGATGGGAGACAGACATGGGAATGAGACTTTTCCTGTTACCCTTTTACTCCTTTTTAATTTTATGTAATTTGGAAGTATTTAAATAAAAAGGAGTGAGGTCTTAAAAATTAACATTTTAATAATAAATCAGACACTATCTGGATTTAGATTCCAGTATGGTAAAGCAGTAGTAAGAAACAAACCTTTAAGAAAGATAAGGGAGAAATCTTAATTTTATTTTATTTTTGTAAATTTGGAAAATTCCACTACTATTTGATTCTGCAAATAAAGCACGTTTGTCTTGTGTTCTATTGGAGCACAGTTTGGGAATTATGGCTCTTAAGGAAAGAAAATACTGACAGTCAAAACTTTGCCTGATTATGCATTAGAGAATTTCACCTGGTTGGAAAAGAATACTCTCTCTGATGCACTTTTAAAAATATATATATTTCTTCTCTTATTCCTGAAATTTAAAGCAGATATATCCTCAGCCATCAGGGGTGCTAGAAGTTTTTTTTCCCTCTGATGCACTCTTTAAAATCATTAAAGGACCATGATTTTTGCTATTGTGGATATCGTTGTTTCACAAATTGTTCATTTTTCCCAGCAAGCTAAGCATTATGAAGAAAAGAATGAAATCAGTAAGCTGACTTATGTCTATGGACTAAGGAAATCAAGTCATGTGAGGACAAAGCAATTCAAAGAATTTGCCAGGGATGAAGGCTTGGCCTCTAAATCACATATAGGTCTTCATATATGGGCAGAGGTGGGTGTTCTGCAGCATGGAATCACCATTGACACCGTGTGTCAGGGGCACATACAGAACAGCACTGAGACTGAAGTTTTCTATTAGATGATCCTTAGGAACCAAATCTCTGTTTAGGACCTAGATACCATATTTCCTTAAGATGGTGAATGGAAAATAAATGTTCAATAAATCCGTAAGCCTACAAAATTATCATGTGTGTAACACTTACCTTCCCAAGTGTTTTTGTTTATGGGTCACATTTAAAACTCATGCCAATGTTGTAAACAAGGCTGCTTACTTATTTTTTTCTGATATACACATGTGGAAACTAAGGCTCTGAGAGATGAGTGACTTGACAGGACCATACTGTTGATAACTAATAAAGTCAGGCTTTTGGATTCTTCAGCTATTGTACTTTCCATCTCCCCCAAAATGTTTGGTAACTTGAGTCTGGAATGCCATCCTTCATCTCTTTTCAGATTTTGACTCACTCTTTCTTTAAAATCGTGCTCAAAATTCTTCCCTAAGAGGCTGTTTCAGAAAGCCCAGACAGTTTTACTGGCTCTAAGCCTCCCAACAATTTGTTTCCAGTATCTATTTTCTATCTATTCTATCCAGTATCTATTTTCCATTATTTACTATCTATCATATTCCAGTATGACTTTTAGCTTTATTCTGCTGGTTTGCTTTCTGCTATTTATTTCCCCTTCTTATCCTATGTAAGCCATCTTTATTATAAATAGTGCTACCCTTGACTTCTAGACATTTATAATCTGTTTTTAATAACATCCAGATGACTAGAGAATAGTTTTAAACTTTCGTGTGCATAAAGATGACCCAGGGAACTTATTAAAAATAGATTTCTCAGTGCTTTTCCCATAGGTTCTGATTCTCTGTGTCTGGGTCAAGTTCAGGAATCTGCATTTAAAAAGAAACACCTCAGAGGATTCTGATGCAGGTGACCCAATGACTACACTTTCAGAAACCCTGTTCTTGAGAACTAAAAATTAGACTGTACGTACTGCATATCTATCTATTCAGTAGGAGATACAGAGGTATGAAATAACTGACTTGCTCTCTTGCTGTTTGCAAACTTTCAGGGAAGAAAGAGCATAGCGCCTGTCATCTCTGATGTTATATGATGACAGACCCTACGAGTGATGTAGATTATGTTATAGGAATGTAAAGAAGGAAGGCATCACTTTGGGCCAGATTATCTGGAATGGCTTCATAAAAGATAGGGGTTGAGCTAGGGTTTGAGGGAAAGACAGGTCTCAGCAAGATGGGGAAAAAAGTGGATTACTTCAAGATGTTGGAACTGAAGGTCAAGGAAGCACAAAAACTACTTTTAGGGTATCAGTACATGGAATGATGTATCTGAATTGAAAAACCAGTTTGTGTAGGGACATAGCAGAACTTATGCCTGGAAAGCCAGCTATTAGTTAGACTGTGGAGAGCCTGGGACTGGGACTCTATTCGGTATGTCCTGGGTGGTTCTTCACACGTGCCAATAAGATAAGTGTGGCATTTAAAAAGACTGATCTAGCAGTGAGTTTGGAGGGCCTGAACTATGTTTGGTGATCAGGTAAGTGAATCCTAAGGAAGGCTTGGTCTGAACGTTTGTAAAGGTAGATTCAACACGATCTGGAGTTTGGATGAGAAAGAGAAAGGTGTTAAAACACGCTGCTGAAGTTTGAACCTCCTCGATTGCGCGGTTGATGTACAATTACACCACTCAGTGAATCTAAGGAAGGAAATATTTTAAGGCGGTGTTTGGTTCTAGATTTAGAATCCAACATCCTACCCAAAGTTGGAATCTTCTGTAAATATGCATCAGGTAGTTTTGCTTAACTATACGGCAGCTATTTTTTATTATGTTGAAAGGGAAAGATCTGGAGCTTGTGGGAGAGAAAATGGAGATTGGGGTCCACCAGCGCAAAACTTCCAAGCCAAAAGAGAAGGCAGACTGTTCAGCTCACTTATTTTTTATTAAGCATCATTATACACAAAGTACTGCATCGAAAACTAAGATGATCAGCCCCTGACCTTAAAAAGTTTAAAATCTGAGTGGAATCTACAAGAGATTCCAGTAAGACTAAATGGCAAGCCTCCGAATCCACAAACCACCCATCAGCGAATCTGTACTCGTCCTGTTGGAGCAGTTGAAGGTCTCTCTGGCTAAAGAAGGGGTGAAAATTAGCAGGATACTCAATTGGGAATGAGAAACATCTGCCTGGAGGGTGTGGACTTGGGAAACTCTTTGAAGTAGTAGATGCTAGACTGCCTAAAACCCGCGCTAGAATAACTCTCGGGATGCGGCGGCAGAACCACCTGTGAGCCACAAATTTACTCTAGCAAGAACGCGGCTTACGGCCAGTGAGACTCCAAGGTCCGCCCAAGAGTCCAGAACCTCGCTCCAATTGGACAAGCTCATTTTCTCGCCTTCCGCGGGGCTCCTTCGCCTATCAATCACACTGCTTGTTCCCCGACCCCACCTTCGCTCCGCCCCTTTTAGTGACGCAACACCTGGCGCTCTTTCGCGCCCCATCCTTCAAGCTCCCCACCAGTCGCTTCAGTTCCTTATTGGCCAGCGGAGAGGAGACGGAAGGGAAAGGGATTCTATATCGCTTTCTAAACTCCCTCCTCTAGTTTTCCGGTCTTCTCTTAGGCTGCCAGGACAGCAATTATAGCCGGGAGCTGTCGCGCAGGAGTGCAAAGGTACTCGCTGGTGGAGGGGCACCTCCCCTCAACCCTTAGAGAATTAGTTATACGGTTGTGACGCGAGTGGTACTCCGCTCGCCGCCTTCACTTACGATTGGCTGTGGCCGACGTCCGTCACACAACCACGCCCCATCCCTCTGCCTAACCTCCCCGCTTGATAGACCTCGCAGGAGGCCACGCCTCACCCCGTTCCTGCCGCTTAGCCCTGCGATTGGCTGAGGGAGCTGGCATGCTTTCCCACCCCCTACTCCTTCCCGAGCATCCCAGAGGCTGGCAGGACCCCGCGGAAGTTGTCAGTCAAACTCCTCCCTCCCCATCCCTCGCGAGGCCCCGCCCCCGGGCCGCGCTCCCTGGCGCGCGGGCGCGCACACGCACACAACACTCCCCCCCTTGCCTCTAGCCAGCACCTTCTCAAGTTGTAGCGGTCGCTCGCCGGGGGTTCTCTGTGGGCGGCGGAAGGGCGCGTGGGGGAGGGGGTTCGGACGGCTCGGCGCTCTCAGGAGCCAGTGTGTGTGCTCGCCCAGGGCCGGGGCGGCGGGTTACCGCCCCGGGAGATGAGGGGCCGACGCTGACAGGGAAGAGCGGGCACCGCGGCGGTAGTGGCAGCGGCGGCTTGGAGGGGACCCGCTATGGCAGCGCCTCAGGAGGAGGCTCCGGGCAGG